GGTCCCTCTCCTACCGAGACTTCAAGCCACCACATCATCATGAGCCAGCAGTCACCCGTCGCAGGCGCAGGAAGCGATCAGTCCGGCCCTCGTCGTCGTTGCCGCCGCAGCCACCTCCGTCCAGGCGGGCGTCTCTTCTGGCTACTCGACCTCTAATCAGGAAACACCCATAACTCCTGCTCCGCCTGAGAGGGAGTCCAATTGGGCCCGATCGACGGAACAGGGCTGGTTTGACGCGCTCGTTCAGGCCGCCGGTGAAAGCCGTTGCCGCTGAGCCACGCCGGCAGCAGCTCTCGTGATAACACAATTTCAGTGAAAACTCGGGACCCAACCTTTTTATTGCTATTTATTTATTTATGAATATGAGACCTATGAGAAAATCCATCGAATTCCCAGCTGTCTACCACGACGATCCAGACGATGTCTGATGACGTATAACGTCTGACGAGTGTATGACGGGCACCAATCGGTCGACAAATGGGCCCACAATGGCCCAGACGCCCGCCGTCCTTGGTGCCGGCGACACCCGACTGTGACGACCGAGGTGACCCCTGCAAGGTGACGACCGTGAAAACCCACTGCAGGGTGACGAGGGGAGGTGGCGATACAGCAGGCGTCCGCTTGTCGGTCCACGATAAGAAGATGTGCTACAGTGCAAGTGAGTTATGCGGCATTTTGCAACGTGCGGACACTAAATAAACGTTGACAACAGTTTTTTGTCACAAAATAAAAAGTTCTGCATTGTGCAGCTCGATGTCAAACAATTTTTATATTAATCCTTGAGATAATTTTATGGGATTCACAAAAAAAAGATTCTAATAAACAAAAAGTATGAATAAAACAGCATTCTGTAATCTTCATTTAGTCACCAGTCCAGCGGCCGGACCGCGTGCACCGTCCCGGCCCGCTACTCCTCACGTGTGATCCCTCCGATACCGGTATCTGCGCGCGGTGGAATGTTATGACCCCGCCGCTGCCAGGGGCCTCCGACCATCTCATGGCATGACCACTGCTGACCGGTGCTGACCGACGACCCCGATACTGCCCGGCCCGCTCTCTTGTGGCGGTGCGATTTGGCGGATTATCGCCAAATGGGCCCCAGCGGGGTTCCGGAACTTCTAAAGACGGCGCGCGGGTCTGATCGTAGGTCCGCCGCTCCGACCGTTTCGGGCGAAACGGCCTCCAGAGAGGTGGTCCGTTCGGTGTGCCCTAAAGCGGTGCCGGGGCTGTGCTCTGATCTAGGGAGCGTCGCCGCCTGGCGTACGCGTGCATGGGTTGAGTGCAAGGGTGGAGTGCACAACCGGGGTGCACGAGAGAAGTGTGCGGACGTGCATGGCTGGTGCGTTCACAACGGACGCTAGCCATGGGTTATGCACATTGCACGGTGCGGGAGCATTGTTCTCAGCTGCGCCGCGCGGTGGGGCGCGGTGCGGCGAGGCACGGCGCGCCGGTCACCGGCCGCGCCGACAGGCAAGTTCCCATGGCGAGCCCAGCCGCCCAGCCGCGGCAGCAAAGTTTCTCCGACACGCCAGAAAAGTGTAAATTGGTAGTGCGCCGGCGAGAAAAAATGAAATCGTGAGAAATAGAAATGTAGGCGACCGCGTTAGGCCCAGAGCCGACCGGAACGTCCGCGAAGGGGCGGACAGCTTTTGCGAGCACGCGACAAGTCACTGCGGACTGCGCCACAAGTGATGAATGTCGGTAATGCACGGATGTGAAGGGAGAACGGGTCGAATTGACTGTGAATGGTTTTAGAATGGACGCTGCAGAGAGTGAGGATTTGAGCCCTGCAGTCTGCCAGTCATGCCAGATTCGGCTCATGAGGTGCCAGTGACAGGCTACTGCTGAACAGTGATGAATGCCGCTGATGCGAGTTCAGTAGTCGGCTCAGTCAGCCCAGCAATGTCATGGGCGCCAGCACCGTTAGACCATGGTTAGACTAAATGCTCAGACGGTGCCCGAGCTGTCACTCTACAATGTGTCAAACGCGGTACTATCGAATAAATATTGAACGAACTATACCGCTGCGGCGTTGATTTTCCAAGCATAAACTCAGCTGAGTCTTATCGATACGCAAACATAACACCCGATAAAACGGGCCGGCATTTTACATCTAGGAACACATACAGCTTATGTTTATCATTCATTACCGTTATCATTTGCTGATGGACTCCAGTCGCCACTTAGGAAGATCGATACATGCCCCAGGTCACCACCCCTTCCATGCAGCTAAGTCGGCTAAGTATTTATCCCGTCTGGTTCATAGCCCTGCAGTTGGTTGGCAGGAGACCGATGACAAACGGCTCCGGGTGGCGCCGCCGTTCTGAGTGGCGGCCATCAATTAGCACCCAGGGTCGCGCGCGCGCGCCGGCGCCGGAGCCGGTGACACGGGGCGGGAGTGCGGAGGCCGGCCAGCCACGGTGGGACCTATAGATATGGCTAATGTCTGGACCGGTAATAAACGTGCAGAATCAACCGATGCAAATAAGAATAAGGTGAAACAAGAAATGAAGACAAACAGAACAGAACAGCCCCAGATGGAGCATCTGAGGGGAACAATAAAATGTTACCCGATTTTTTCATCGATGAAATCATCGTCTGCCCTAGGTATCTGTAAGAATCTTGGTCTGCCCCAGCTTTGAGTCCGGTAGTTTTTCCCTATCCCCATGCCCTGCCGCTCCTGCCGCTCGTGTAGGTATGTTGTTTCCGGCGAGTGCCCACCGTCAGCGCTCTCGATGCATATTTGTTCAGCGCCGGTAGGCGACTGCGGTGATGCATGGGGGAGGGATGAGACACCACAGAGGGAAGCGGGGGTCAGAGTTTGACGTAAGGGAGACGCCACAACCGCCACGGTTCTGTCATGGCGAGATTGTGGTGTGACATGGAGAGTCTCCTGTCAGGCTTCTGGTTTGAAAAAGTGTGGCACTTTGTATGTTGCCGACCAGTGTCACAAACAACTGGAAATCCCACGACAGTCTTTTGATCATGAGATGAGTGATGAAAAGGGTTTTGCGCGGCGCTTTATCTAAAGTGTTTATGTAATTGGAGATACCTGAGCACAAGGAGTCTGGTTCTGAACTGAGCAAAAGTGCCAAACACGCTGTTTCTCTCCTCCGTCACCAGAATTCCCCGCTGTAAACAGCACGTCATATCCAATGATGAAACAGAGTCGACTGATGGACTTCCCCGGACCCCGGTTTCCAATGTTATCTCCTGTACCATGCCTCACGACCGAACTAGAATAGATGGCGGCCGATCAAGCAACATGGATCGTCTGCCGAAAATCTTTTGAGAGACAGTACATAAACCGATACTATTTCAAATTATACGTTCTAGGTCACCCATAGGAACTCTCGTGAGCCCATAAAAACCCTGAAAACCCACAACGATTAACTACTCCGTGACTTGTTTTTAAAGAGAAAAATTAGTTCCGACTTATTGTAGCCTTCCTTAGTCTCAAACCACTGCGAGACATCCCCGGGACCTCACGGGAATACCTCCGACCCTCTCGGCAATCTGTCGAGCACCTCGCGCCCGCGACAAAGATCTCCGTTGGCGCCGGTCTAAGGACAGGGTCCGGCGACCGTCCCCGCGGTTCTCTGAGATACAATCGCAGCTCGACGAGACGGTGCGGCCCGCGGCTGACCGGCCAATTGGCGTCACCCGTCTGACCGACGTGTTTATTTGGTCAGCCCGCACGCCCACCACGCCGGCGAAACATGCAGGGGAGCCCTGCCGAGCCCGCTCCGTGCGGTGATGTGCATCCAGAATTGAATGGACAGGATGAATGAGCACTGAGATCAACAATGGATGTGGCTACGTAGTTGATATCTGTTGACTACTACTCCGTAGCTTGCTGGGGATTAATTATGGGTGGGAGCTACGCATGGTTTTAAGTAGAGGTGACTTCATATGTAAAGGTGACAGTGACATGGTAGGTACAAGCTCCTTCTGAGCTATACAATTTTTTTAAGCCACATTACTCAATTGTGCTGATTGATAAATCATGGAGCTCATCTGACTTTTTTAGCATGCTTCAGTTCAAACAGCCTCGCATATCCTATTTTACATCAGACGTCAAACATAACACCACCTCAGTGTCTATATTAGACCATAACAGACCGCCGCAGCGGGCCGTGCGTCCTCGCGGCGTCCTCTGATGGCTGACAGAGCCGTGAGACCGCTACGTTACAGTTCGACGGCCCGAGTTACGGTAACCACATCGAGGAATGTCGCCAGATCCGCCGCCGCCGCCGCCGGCTGTCATCAGGCCCGTGTCACCACAATGGGGAAGGACGACGGAGCGGGGGCGGAGAGACTCTTGGGAAATGGAGTGGACGAGGGTGTTGAGGCAGCGACCAAGGCGCAGCGACTGGTGAGGGTATATGGATTGGGAAGCGAAGGTAACGCGCTCGAGTCGGGCGCGTCGGAATTAGGAAAGCGATTGTGTGAAAACTGCGTTTCGGCAATGTTGTGATTAGGTGTCCTGAGATCGTTAGTGAGTGGTTAAGTAAGATGCCGGCTGGCAGGCCGTATGGCAGGCGACCCGCCACGAGGCGAATTTATCGCGTCGTACCAGGGCGAACGTTCGACCATTAATTCTCCGCAATGTAATGAGACGGCGGGGACGGAACAATGGTCGCCTTTTATAGAAGCGGGCCGGCAAGATCAAACGGAGTTCAACCCGCAGTAATATTACCCTCCAAAGTATCTATCCATTTGACGAAAAGGCTTGAAATTGAACAGGGTATGAGTAGCGGCAAGAACACCGTTTCCAAGAATGGATTATACCGTTCAGGCATTACAACTCTTACCATATTTGGAACGCACATTTGAAAATAATGCATCATGAATAACATTGTCAAACTTATTGAAAAAATTCCACCTGGTTGCGCCTTTATCACTGAGAAGGGAAAGCGGTATGCGGATAATCCCCCCCCCCCCCCCGTCTGCTTCCCCAGGCCCCGCCAGCCGGTCAGCCGGCCTACCGGCGGACTCACCTGGGAATGGCCGCCTTGATGCCGGCCAGGCCGTACCGCTCAGCCAGGAACGTCTTGGGCAGCGACAGGGACCTCTGCTGCGGCACGGGCGAATCGCGCCCGGAGCCCTCCTCCTCCATCTGCGGCTCGTCGGACGGCGGACGGCCCCGGCTCCCGCCCGGCTCCGTGCCCGTGATGCTGTTACTCCTCGCGTTCCGGCTGCGGGTGTGCGTTGAAGACGTCGATGCCGTCGTGGCTGACGGCGCGGTCGGCGCGCGTCGTTCCGACTCGGATCGGTTTCGTGTTTCGGTCGGTGCGTGTGACCCGAGGGCCTCCAGTGAGACGCCCTGCTGGCCGTACAGCGACGCGATGAAGTCGTCGATGGTGATAGTCGAGTCTCGGCAGTCGTCACTAGAGCTGTGACTGCGGCGGGTGCCCACTCGCCAGCCGTTACGCACAAAGCCGCGCAGCTTGGAGTCGCGCGACAGGAACGAAGACGAGGTGGACTCTTTGATTTTGGGTTTGCGCGGCTCGGCGGCCGTCTCGCTGCCAGTGCTGCGGGTGCGAGTCTTTCCCAATCCGCCGCCGACCAGGGTGTGGATGGCGCTCTCCAGATCCCGGCCCGTCCATACGTCTGATGTGGACGAGAACACCGACCCGTCGCTGTCCAGAAACTGGCAGCTGCTGCGCTCCGAGCGGGGAGCCCCGAGCTCCCCACGCGTGCCGAACCGCGCCGAGTCGTCCCCGCACTCGGAGCCGGCGCGATACACGGACAGCGCCGGCCGCGGCGGCGCGCCCTTGTCGCTCAGACTGCGGGACAGCGCCTTCTTGGCCTCCCGCTGCAGCCGCTCGAAGCTGGCCGGCCCGTCGCGCGAGTCGGGCCGCGAGCCGTTCTCCGAGCACTCCTGGACCGACTCCAGGTTGCGCGAGTACGGCAGACTGCCGTAGTCTGGGTGCGGGGTCGCGTCGGCGCCCCGTCTGCCGGCGATGAGCTGACTGGCCTGGGGGGCCACCGGCGGCGGAGTGCGATACGGCGACTCGAGGTCGTGGAAGTTGACATAGTCGCAGTCGTCATCCAGATGCCTAGCGTCGGCGTGTAGCTTTCTGGCGAGCTCGTCCAGTGTCGGCGAGCTGTCGAAGAAGGCGTCATTCTCTGCCTGTGTTCTGGGTGTGACCGGAGGCGGCAGAGGCGGCGCCCGGGTCGGGGAGGTTGGTGTGCTCCCAGGACGCACCGGTACCGGAGACCGCACCTCACTGTAGATCGGCTCCGGGGACAGCGCTCCGACCGGTGTCCGCGGCGAGCGGATCTCGGCGTAGATGGGGTCCGAGTTGCGGGACGTCATGGCCACGGAGGCGGGCCGGCTACCCTGCTCCTGAACAGACGCCGCCACCTGCTTCAGCGTCTCGATGATGGCGTCGAACTGGTTGTTGAGAAAGTCGCCGTCGACGTTGAGAGAGAGGCGGACTTTGTTCTCGTTCTGAGCGTCCTTCTGGCCCTGGATTGTGGCCTGAACCTGCTCACCGGCGTCCACATATCGCTGCAGTCGGGTACGGTTGGTCACCAGGCCGTCCTCCGTACCATTCACGTGGATCACACTCGAGTAGACGGCCTTGTCGACGCTCTGCTTCCTCGGCGGGGTCGGGACCGGCAAGCAGATGGAGCCGCTGTCTGAACAGGTGTCCGTGTCCCGACTGGTGAGTGAGCCGGCGCCGCTGCTGCGCCGGCCGTCCGGACTGAGGCGGTACTGAGGCCGCGCCGGCTCCGGCTCCGGCTCCCGGCTCCGGACCGGCTCAGACTCCGGCTCCAGGTCCGAGGGACTGTGAATGGAGCCGATCTGCTGCACCCCGCTCTTCTGCCGCCCCTCGGCCGACGCTGTCTCATCCTCTGATCGGAATGTGGGGTCCGCGCGCGGCGCCGGATCGCGGTGGTTTTTGTACGACGGCACGTTGGAAGTGTCCGGTCGGCGCCGCCGCTCGGCGGAGCTTGAATGGCGCTCGGCCGGCGCGCTGGGTGGCGCAGAAGGGGACGCATCCCCGGCGCGGCCGTCCCTATTGTCGTCTGGAGCGGCACGGGGGGCGGCGCGGCCGGCCCGGCGGGAGCTGGAGGAGCCAGGCCGCCGAGACGGCTCCGAGCCGGCCTCGGCACGTGAGCCCGTGCTGCGCTGCTGCTCGGCACGTGACGGCCACGTGTCGCCGTCGGCGGGCCGCCACGTGTCACTGTCGGCGGGTCGCCACGTATCGGTGCCGAGTCCCTGTATATTGGGCAGGGAGGTGAGCGGGTCAGGCCGGCCCGCGCCGAGTGCCGCCGGCGGCCGCAGATGGGACGGTTTGGGCGGCAGGCTCGGTTTGGCCGCCGACTGGAGACTGAGAGATCGCTGAACCTTCACCTTAGACTTGTTTGCCGGCGTATCGCTACCGGTGCCGGTTCCTTTCTCAGTTGGAGCCGCTTTGGACCGCGTGTCGGGAGCGCTGTTCAGACCGTTTTTGTTGGTTGTTTTCGTGCTGGCAGCATCGGTGAGCTTTCCCGCTCTGCCGCTCGCCGTCTGCCTGGGCTCATTCTCCTTCTCCCTCTCGCCGGAGGAGCCTTTGCTCAGATTTCTCGCTCGGATGGTTGTGATCGACCTGGAGCCGAATTTTCCGGCGTCCAGCCGGCCGGGCGTGGCTCGCGGTCGCCGCAGCCGGCCCGGCTCGTGCAGCGAGCTCTGGCTGGCGGTGCGCGAGGCCGGCGCACTGTCCGAGCCCACACCACTGGCCACACTCTCCTGGGAGCGACACAGCGGCGAGCCCACGCTGCCGCCGCGACGCTCCGAGCCGATCCATGTTTTGGACGTGTTTTTGCTGAGCGCCGGAGCAGCGGTGGCGGCGCCGTTTCGCGCTGTCGGCTGCTCACTGGGTTTTTGCAGTTTTCGACCATTTCGCGAGGCGCTCGACTGGGTTGGACCACCGTTCGTGCTCGACTCAGGACTGGTGAGCGCGCTGAGGCCGGAGATGTCACTGAGGTTGATGGAAGAGCCGCTGGTGGGGGACTCTGTCCCGCCCACAGAGTCAGCCCCGTTGCTGCGCCGTGTTGGAATACCGGACGAGTATTTATTCCCGGAGAAGCGGAACGATCGCGGTGAGTCCCTCGGACTGCTGGGACTGAGGCTGGATTGGGGCGAGATGGGGCACGAGTTGGGCGTGGAGCGTGCTGACGAACCGGGCGAGGGCGCGCCTCTGCCCGGTCGAGCTCCGTTCTCTGTCGCCGGCCGAGGGCTGTTTGCCGTTTCTCGCCGAGTAGGTTTGTTTCTGGTGTCGATAGTCAGACCTGGCCGCCGGTCTGTCTGAGCAGCTGTCTTCGTCCGACCGTTGGCTGTCGATTCCGTGTCTCTCGCGGCTGGTGAGCCATTTCTCAGCGTGCCTGTGCCGGCGGTACGTCTGGTTGAAGCGGCCGATTTGACCCCGGGGCGCGATTTACCGCCGGGGTGAATGGGCGGTTTTGGAGACGAGCACCGCTCCTCCCTGAGACCCGCTCCGGCGCCGCGGCCGCGGATATTGCTCCGTGACGATCCCGTCTCCGTCTCGGGACAGTACTCGATTTTGGCCCGCGGCAGGGAGGTGTACGTCATCAGTTTACCGTCTGCGGGCCGCCCCTGACGCTGACCGGTCGCGGCGCTCGGCCCGCTGTTACTGCCGCCGCTGCTACCATTGGTGGTGGTGGAGGTCGGGGCTCGTCTGCCCCTGTCGTCGGCAGATTTCTGAGCGGCGGTCGAGCTGCAGGCCGACGAGCTGTCGGCGCCGGCGGGCGGCCGACGCCGGTACACGGGGATGTTTGAGACGCGCCCGGGCATCTCCTGGTCGCTGTCTGTCGCCTCGGCCTGACCTGCCGCCAGGGTCAGGTCATCTCGCGACACGCGCCGCAGCGGCCGGCCAGGTGGAGTGTCGTAGATCGGCTCCGACGGATGGAAGTCGATACTATCAATCGACGGGTGGAGATTGGGCGAGCGCGGCCGCGGCAGCGAGCGGTACCTGCGCAGAGAGTCCGTCCACACGCGGCCGTCCACACTCTCAGTCCGAGACACACGCACACGGGGCGCCGCGTACTTACTGCTCTGTCTGAGTCTGTCACCAGCGGCGGCGCTCACCGCACTGTCCTCTCGCCGGGTCTCACTGTGAGCGCGGCGTCTCACCGTCCCGCTCACACCGCTCGTCTCCCGGCGCTCACCGCTCACAGTCTCACTTCTCACCCGGTCACTGACACTGTCCGTCGCGCTAACACGCTCACTGGGGAATAGCACCCGGCCGGCGCCGGTCTCCGCTGATGTCGAGTCCCAAGTGGAATTCCTCCTCCGTCTCAGCCGCTCGCTGGTGGAACTGAGCGCGTCGAAGAACCTCTCTCGCGCCCTGGCGCTGGAATCGTGCAGTGACTCGGAGCGGCCGAGCACGGCGCCGGGCCGAGAGGTGCTACCTGCGCGCGGGCCGCGCGACCACTGAGCGCGCTCGGCCGGCCGCGGCGACGGCGGCAGCGGCAGCGCCAGCGGGAACGCACTGACGCGCGGCCGGCCGTCACGCGGCGGCGGCGACTCGCATGTTCTACTCGGCTGGCCATGTAACCCAAAATCGGCCGAGTTTCCATTTTTCCAGGCGTTTTGCGGTAACGGCGGCGGCGGCAGCTCTGTGGTGTAGCGTGCCACGCGCATGGCGCCGCCGCGCGGCTCCTGCGCCGGTGAGGGACCGCGCGCGCCGCCTGTCCGCTGAGTGTGCGCCGTCGGTGGCCCGCGGGCCGTGCGCGTCGGATGCTGGCCCGCGACTGACTGCTCTCCGGAGAGGGCCGCCGCCGGCCGGGCCGAATGTGTAATCAGCGCCGGGCCCAGGGCGCCGGGCCGGCCGGCCGTCGGCCCAGGCCCCGCCCCCATGACCTCTCGACCAGACGGCCGCCGCGAGCGCCGCCTCTCGTTAGGGTCGGAGACGGTGACAGTCAGAGAACGACGGCGCACCGGCTTGGCACGCGCCCGGCGCAGGAACGCACTGTCCCTGACTGCCGGGGGAGTACCCGAGCCGGCGCCGCTGACTGTGCTGGGATGAGGTGATAATTCAGATGATCGAATCGAGTCTGAGCTGTCCAGACGGGATAAGTGGTATAATGAGGCAGGTATTTGTAGCGGGGAGGACGGGCTAGACGCGTCCGAGTCTGAGGTAGGCTCCTCCGGCGGAGCTCGAATGTTGCAGAGGATATCGGGTACGCTGGTGGTCAGCCGTCCCAGCCGCGGGGGACGCCAGCCCGAGGGGTCACCCCGATCGGTACCAGGTATCTCCGGAGGCTTCACATGACGGAGACGAGGCTTTCCTCTGGGTGGAGTCTCCCCGTCGACTCTAACCACAGTACCGCGCCGCGGAAGTGTCCCAGAAGTGTCGTTTTCTGACAGGTGCTGTCGCGGCGGCGACCGCGAGCCGCACATTTTCCCGTCAGCTGAGGCCGAGCGCACCCGGCGGTGTACGGCGACCGCAGCGACATCTGTGGCGCCGGTGCTGCCCTCCTGCGGCCGCGGATCGGAGCGGAACACCAGGTGCTCGATGTTGGTGCGGCAGGGGTCGGCGGTGATGAGCTGCCGACGACGGACCACCGTCGGACGGGTGTGCGACTTCAGACTGTTGGCCAGCCGACGCAGAGGGTTCCGCGGCCGAGGTGCTGATGACGTCATCCCGCTGGGAGGGGAGTCCGCGGCGGGAGCCAGCCTGGAACAGCAGGGGAACAAAGCGAGGCGTCATCTCCTGAGCGTGTTAGTTCGACGCTAGTTATGGGCCAGGCCAGGTTTGAGCGCGGGTTATGACTCAACTCTTTGAAATTATATCAGTTGCATAAAAGGAGCAAATGTGGCTTACTTTTTAGAGTTACGACCGAGCGCATTATTTCAGCATAATGCATTTATTAAACACCGGAACGAACAAAATTATAACATCGGACACCAGAGACTACGTTAGGTATCACCCTTCCTCAATCAAGGCACGTCAGTATTGCTCTATTTCCCTTCCATACCGCAAAAAACGCCCAGTCTGTCTTTAAACACGCTCCCACTTTCACAAGTCGATATGTCAAAATCATGGTCATCAGCGCATACTAATTAGCGGTCCCGACCGCCGCCCAGCGCCCACGCGAGTCAAATATTTTAATTTGATGACGTAACTGTATCGCCGGTCTTCCTTATTCGTCAGCCAGCTGTGTAGTTGTGTCATGATTTGAAAGTCGATGCCTGAAGAACGATCAGAAATTCGGAGCGATCTGCCTAACTCGGAGTTGGATCATACATGTGTGGCGTGGTTCAATCCATCAAATTAATCGCACCGATTGAATTATCGATAAAGCGATCTAAAGGCAATCAGCTATGGATAGGAGGACGTGATACCTAATTCGATGGTGCCATAATGACACAATAACCTGTCGGAGTAATTGCCCGAACGGTTATAGGGCTTATGAGGAAGCTCAAGAGACAAAAGTCAGGAATAACAGGAAGTTATTTGAACAAATGCACGCCTTACCTTTGACAGAATTAACTATTAGTCTTCCTATATGTAGGCAGACATGAAGGTAGGTAGACCATCACAAATGGAATGGCGTGTCAATCAAACGTCTATGTGAGGAAATGCGGCACGATCGCTAGCATGTTCAAAATTCAGTCATTCATCGGGACTACCATCCGAAAAAAATCAAACGCCAATAAAAGCATGTGTTTACCTACAAGTAGTTAAGCCAAAGAGTCGTCAAAAGGCATTTTACTGCAGGGTGCGTTCCTTTGCTCTACCCTATACGTAAAAAGAAATGAAAACGTTATAAACGACCTCGGAAGCAGCTGCTACGCTACACTCGTGTACGAGAAAACCTGTTCCAAGGGCGGCATGCAGAATGCAGATGCATTATAATAACTCAGACGTGTGATTTAACATGGACGTTTTTGCGGTCAGAATTCGGCAACCTATTATCCATCCACTCCGTGGCTCAGAGGCCTCAAAACTTGTGTCAGTGTACAGTGACCATTATCTATTACTTCCTGCATAACGTGTCCACAACTACCAATAGAAAACAGGTGTGGTTAGAAGCATCGTGAGTAAAGCAGCACGATTTTTAAAAGTGTTTTAAACTGAATCTGCTATTAGGTCTGGATTTATCAATATTTAGGTTGCGTGACAGCACGACGCGATCATTTCTTTGCAATGCCGTGTATCGACTATCGAGCGACAGCCAACTGCTCCAGCTCGAGTGACAGGCTTCCGCCAGACTCAATAGGTATTCGTACGCCTCAAGTGTTTAAACTGTTTAAAGGAGAAAAATGTGATTTTATACATCAATAAATAATTTCATAAAGACTGGCCAACCAAGAAGGAAGGACTGATTAAATCTATTGATGTAAAAGTCAAATAAGTAGGTTCCCATGAGAGCCATAGCAACTCTGCCCTCAAGGGCACCGGTCGGTACCCACATGCGAACACACGGGAGAGAGAAACACAAAGACGCTCGGCCGACCAAGAGCTCAGAGCGGAATCCGATTCCAGGGTGGAGTACACACCAGATGAACGCGAAATGTATGCAGGGAGATGCAGCGTCCGTCTATGTCCAAGGTCGAAAACAGCACAGTGGGTACTGAGGGAGGCAGAGACGGGTCGGTAGCGAGAGATTCACCAGCGCGGCCCGACAGCGGCCATTTAATATTTGTCACGAAAGACGACACAATACGATACCCATGGTGATATCCGGCTTGATTCTAGGTAGTCATGTATTAGAGATATAGGACCGTCCAATGTTCAATGTCAACCGTATCGGTGCAAAGTATTGCACTGTGCTACTTTAGCGTCAGTGTCTTTGAAAAACTGGACACGAGAATCAATGAACAGTGCGAACACGCTTCACCATGGAGCTAAGTTCATGCAAATAACATTATGTAAAGTGAAGGAAACTAAAACTTTAGTGAGAAACGGACGCATGAACAATAGTTCACAGACTAAGGCACTGTTCATATGACATTTGACGGCCGTCTTTTGATGGTTTATCATCGATGTGAATCAGGAAAGGAGCTCGTGTCGGAAGTGCACTACAAGGCTTACGTCGGTGTGCCATTTCGAGCCGGGTCGCAAATGGCCGCCCCGTGGGAACCGACCCGGTGGCACAGGAAGACTGGGGCAGTGCAGCAGGGAAAAGCGGGCCGCATGGTAGTAGGCCAGCTGGTGTTTACTTTCGCTGAATATGACATAAGAGAGACACACAGGCCAATTACGAAACTCGGCAGTAATTATCACGGCACCTAAGTGGGCTGGTTTGAAGGCACGGTATGTGAGTTGGAGAGAAAGGACTACACCGTGACTACAACTGGATGAATGCAGCTCCCACAAAGATGACCCACTGTTCATGCAGTGCTGGGAACAATTACCGCAGGCTTGAATAGCCAGAGCATTTAATCGGCGAGCTGGGTGAAGGCACGAACTGAATGGAACCGCTTCTGCATTCGCCGCACGTATGCCGCCGTATAAAGGCCATGACTATAAACAAATGGGGCGTGCTCATCCGAGCCATAATCTGACATTGATGCCTTGACCTTTGCCACTGCCTTGACACCGAATTCCGCCCGCCAGCTAACCACTCAGAAACTGCCCCGGATGAGAAAACCACGCGGCAATAAACGTAAATATGTGCACGGAGTTAATAAAGCAGCAGAATAATGTGTCCGCAGGTGGAATCCCATGTTTGCTTTTCGATGAGTTCATGGACGAGACTGGATATAAAACCACCTGATCATCGGATGGTCATTGGTTACTCACCGAGGCCCATATTCCGACTGATCACTGAGCTGGCGAAAGAGCTTAATCATCGCACTGGCGTATGGACGGCAGGTCTGCTTCTCGGCAAACTCGGCAGTCGGCACCACTACTACAATGCTTCACCACCAATACACCACTTCCCTCCACTCCACCGAGCCAAAACGACCACCAGGGTCACCAGCACCACGTCACCAAATCACCAGCACCATTCCGGGAGCCACCACCGCCTCGCCGCCGGCACCAGAGAGCGATTAGCCCACAGGTGGTCCGGTGCTGTTGGCCGGCCGGGCGCCTGTGTCCGACTGAGACTCAGCCTGCTTCTCCAAATACGGAGGGTGCGCCGGGGCCGGCGGCGCGTCCCTCCACCCCGGGACCGGCTCCGACGGCGGCCGGTGGGCGTGCCGGCCGTACTGGGCGTGCTGGGCGTGCTCTGATAGCGACACGACAGACGGACGGAAGGGCGGCACACGTCAGCATCGGGGTGGGCCGGCAGTGGTGTCATGAGAGCGAATCAGTACACACACTTGTGTGCTTTGGGCGTTCACAGGAGAGGAGTGTTCCGTTAAGACGCCTAAAACGGCCTGAACACTTGTTGTGTCATTTTCATGTAAGAAAGTCATCAGATAAAGTACAGCAATTGTAACTGAGTGAAATGGTCATCCATGATACTAATAAGAAATTATCAAAATATTAGATCGTGACCGGTAGGAAAAGCTAAGCGGCAGGGACGGCTGGTTCTCACGATTGCCCGCCTACCCTCCGCGGGTCGCGGCCTTCGGACGGTATCTGCCGGCAGCGGCGGGCGCCAGGAGCCGGCGGCGGCCGTTCGGGTGGCTCACCGGCACAACAGGCCAGGTGGAATGTGGCGTGCTCCCGGGGTCCCGAGGGATCCCACGGACTACCTGCACCTGGCTGGAGAGGAAGGGAGGGGTATGGACAGGGGAGTCGCTAAGAAACTGTGTATGGTGTATCAACAATTTTTAATTATATCATACCAAAAACCAAAGACCTTTTTTAAATTTATTTCAAATTTGAATAAATTTCTGAATGTCTCCCTTAACTGCCCCATTCACTATAGTGAAGCTAACTGTGCAGAAACGCCGCAAAATAAAACAACGGTCGTCGTATTGAAATCCAATGAAAAAAGACTGATGGCCGTAGCATGACTTTTTTCATCACTACAAATACCGTCACCACTTGACATATCAAGCGCGCAATGAAGTATCCTGCGTAGGATGAGTTTCAGTTTATTCTATCTCCAATCACGACTTTCCTGCTATCGACCCAAGCCGCGCCCGGCGCCTCCCCGACCGGCGGTGCTGGCGCCGCCCCTGTGACCTCACCGCCGCGGGGCACGGGTGACCGGAGGACCGGGCCCGGCGGCCGAGCGGCCTCACACGCTCGTGACCCGTGCGGCGGTGAGCCAGCATCAGCTGAAGGAGGACTTTTTGCGATAACAAGGTTGAGGTAAGCTATGAACATTGTGGTGTGCGTTTTGTTTATGAATCGTTTTTATGTTTGTATGTCTACGTATAATTACAATTAGCATATAATACGTGCACCTACGAAACATGACCTAGGCAGAGCTGCTTCTTATTCTACATAACTATGCATCTGATTCATTTCTGGTATGTTTTTTCCGTGAGACTAATGTCATTATGCTATAAATACATTTTTGCTTTTTAACGACAGAATGTATAAAGTAGGGTAAGTGGCTCCTATGACGCACACTTCCTAAAAGCGCACACCAAGAACTTTTTTTAATGTAGTTCCTTCAGCAGAAGCCAGGAACGAAAAAATCAGCTGTCAATCACTTCCAGCGACATTTGTGCTGCGTGTGGACGGCGGTGGGGTGTTGTCGGCTCAAAAGGTGAGTAGTTATGGCGGATATTGTGATTGAGGTGCAATGTTTCTTCAGCAAAAAAGTGCCTGAAGCAATAATGCATGTTTTAAGACGCATGCACTTCTCGCGTAAACCTGAATAGGCCGGAAAGATCGATGGGCACTGACCGGATGGCAATGAAACGGGGCTCAGTTTAGGCATGCATGCTTTACCCAGAATGCGTCAGTGCTGACGGGAGGGGGCTGAATGTCAGGTGTGCGTGTTTAGGGCAACTGGTTCTGCAATGACGCACACTTTCAGTGCCGCAAATGCGCACAGTACATCTGATGATTATCTAGCCTTCTTTCTTACAAGGAGCAGCTTATATCACGATGAATTGACATGTTAGGCATTGGCACAGTGTAGAATGCGGCATTGAGCTCCACTCCCGGCGGTGGAGCTGGCAAAACGGCGGTGGAGCTGGACGCCGGGCCCGCGCGCTCGGCTGGTGACGCCGGACCCGGGCGCTCGACTGGTGACGCCGGGCCCGGGAGCTCGGCAGGTGCCAGGTGACGCCGGGCCCGGGCGCTCGGCTGGTGACGCCGGGCCCGGGAGCTCGGCAGGTGACGCCGGGCCCGGGCGCTCGGCATGTGAAGCCGGGCCCGGGCGCTCGACTGGTGACGCCGGGCCCGGGAGCTCGGCAGGTGACGCCGGGCCCGGGCGCTCGGCTGGTGACGCCGGACCCGGGCGCTCGGCTGGTGACGCCGGGCCCGGGAGCTCGGCAGGTGACGCCGGGCCCGGGCGCTCGGCATGTGAAGCCGGGCCCGGGCGCTCGACTGGTGACGCCGGGCCCGGGAGCTCGGCTGGTGACGCCGGACCCGGGCACTCGGCTGGTGACGCCGGACCCGGGCGCTCGGCTGGTGACGCCGGGCCCGGGAGCTCGGCAGGTGACGCCGGGCCCGGGAGCTCGGCAGGTGACGCCGGGCCCGGGCGCTCGGCTGGTGACGCCGGGCCCGGGAGCTCGGCAGGTGACGCCGGGCTCGGGCGCTCGGCAAGTGACGCCAGGCCCGGGCGCTCGGCTGGTGACGCCGGGCCCGGGAGCTCGGCAGGTGACGCCGGGCCCGGGCGCTCGGCAAGTGACGCCAGGCCCGGGCGCTCGGCTGGTGACGCCGGGCCCGGGAGCTCGGCCGATGGAACATCTCGTGCTGACTCCGTATCCATGCGGGACAACGAAGAACTAGATAGAAGTCTGCATGACGTGATGCCAACCCCTCGCGTGCAGAGCAAAGGTAAGCGAAGGGCAGTTAATAGAGATGCTGTGCTGGTAAAGAGGGCATTGTTTGAGTCCGACGGTAACAAGGAAAAAACAAAGAAAACAGCCAAACATGGACACGTGAAAATAAAACAGGTACCTAAAGCCCAATGAAGACCAGTCATCAGGAAGTGAGACGACATGCATATACTGCTGCATGAAGTTCTCACGATCGTGTGAAGAGTGGATACAATGTCAAGTGTGCACTGGCTGGGCATGCGTGCCATGCACTGACGCTGAAACAAAACAGACAAGTTTCACTTGTGACCTCTGCCGACAGTAGATACTGAGTCAATGAAAAGGTTTCGAGTTCATGATGTGTTCATGATGCGTACATGTTCATGGTGTGTTTCATGATGTGTCGAGTTCAAAGTTCATGATGTGTTCATGATGCGTACATGTTCATGGTGTGTTTCATGATGTGTCGAGTTCAAAGTTCATGATGTGCTCATGGTGTTCAACTTTAAAATAAAGTGATTTGATCAATACCTCGACATGTTTATTAAACCTAAAACCTGTTGGAATTGTTCTTGTGCGCATTTGAGGCAGCTGAATGTGCGTCATAAGAGCACCGGTGCTCTATTAGCGCACGTCGGACGTTGGTGGATGTTTTGCCTTATATGTCATAAATGATGAAGGAACGCTGGAACGTAAAAGTCAAATCAAGAAAGCAAATGCTTATGAAAACTGCTTGTGACCATTTTGTCAGCAAAACAGGTTTCAGTAAGTCTCAAAAGCAGTTTTCCTACTAGGTGTGCGTGATAGGAGCCACTTACCCTAAGGTATAAAAATAACCCAAGAAGTTTTTTGTGGCAAACTTGCGGAATTTGAATTAAATATTAACATTTTAGCTAAAACCCACTGCGAGTAATTTTCAGCGTGAACAGTGATTTAATTTATGAATTAACACAAACGTTATAACATATACACGTCTATTTACTTTAACGCTTAATTCTAGCGGATCTAACTATCCGTGTTATACACAAACGTTTATTCAGGTATAGGCATACATCCGTGGCTGTAGCATAGCGACATTTGCGAAATGCGTTTGTCAAAAGGTGCTACAAACATTAAAGGAAACAGTTCACTTTCCTGAAATTAGTATTTTGCTATGGATTTATGATTTGTTATGCTCAAAATGATCAGAAAATAAAATAAAACCTTTTTGTAAAAACAATTATTTTCTATATTTTAATGTAGGACGAACTATATTCTATGTAAAATAATGTTTGACGCGGAAGCTTGTTACGCGTTGACCAATCATATTGCGTAGTTCAAACCTACGCATGCTGCATTGGCTGTAAGCAGCATGCTGATTGGCTGACGATGACGTGGCTGCATTCCTGTGCAAGGCACACATTCCAGTGCAAGGCACTCTTTTCGGAACGAGAAATGGAATATCTTCGTCTAGGGTGATCGTTGAGCCGTAAAAGCTCCTGATTTGTGCTAGTCTCAGCTCAAGCTACGAAACTGCTATTCCAGTTCAAAACCCCATGCTAAAAGTGAACTATTTCCTTTAAATTTATACCATTGGCGGACGGCATTCTGATTCGTGGGGTCTACCAGGCCATCTTAAAAAATTCAAATCTAGTTTTTCTCACGAGTGGTGTTAAACATTGAATAGACAATAGCCAATGATTTCAAAATCGAGAAATTCTAGAACGTTTCATCAGTTTTGACACCAGCGGGTTTCAAGTTAGTTGTGTCAAATAAAGTAGGCGTGATTTAAGATAGGGGTCGTGATTAGAGATGTCAATCGGATACCAATGTCTTGGAATACCGATACCAAACCGATACTTAGTTGGTATTTGGTGTTTCAATCCTAATGCTTTTGGTATTTTGTTGGTATTATGAGCTCTAAATCATGTATAAGAGGCTGGAAATTTGGTAAAATGTTGGTATTTATCTCATACCCCCAAGTTGGTTCGGTTTCGGTACCTATTTTCCCATAGTTTTGGTTGGCATTTGGTTTGGTACCGGTATTCCGATTTTCTGTAGTTGACATCGCTAGTCGTGATGTTTTTGAAGGACCATGGCTTCCTCCCGTATCAGTCGGTTCGTCTCGACTGGGACTGAACCCCGGCCCC